GAAATATTAGCGAGCCTCCGCCGGGCGCTGGGGAGCCGTAAGAGCAGGAATGAGCTAATATCTCTCAGTGGAGCTTTGAAGTGTAATGGGGTTTTGAGAAGCTGCAGTGACAGGCGTCATTGAAGCAAATCTGCAATTTCATGGCACTCTGGTCGCCATCGTCGGAATGAATTGGGGGGAGCAAGAGGATGGGCTTAGGGGCAATGAGCAGGTAGACCTTTCTCAGATACAATAGGTCCATGGTCGGCAAACTCATCAGTCCGCAGAGCCAGACATCAACAGTGCAACGACTGAAATTTCTCCGGAGAGCCACATTTTTTAAACTTACACTTCCTCTAACGCCACTTCTTCAACATAGACTGGCCCAGGCCGTGGTGTTTTGGGGAAGAGCCACACTCAAGGGGCCAAAGAGCCGCAGGTGGCTTGCGAGCTGTGGTTTGCCGACCACTTGATCTTTGGGGGCTTCTATGTGTGTGTGTGCGTGTGTCATGAGAGTAGAGTTGATGTAGTAAGAGAAAAAAAAGGAAATTACCTGAAAGCATTTAGTTATCTCTTTTTTCTGAATTGCTAGCTGTAAACATACATAGTTTATGAGAAGCCTAAATGCTGCATATTTTTGTTACGCTATGATATTAACAGAATAAAAATGAGTTAATATTCTCTGATTGGCATTTCTCCTCCTTTGTTGGCCTGCCCCCTACGCATGCATGTGGGCATGGGGATAAAGAGTCAAGAGCTCTTTGCAAGTTTAGGATGAAAAAAACGCACCTGTCTCTGGCTTCCTCTCTCTCTGCCGGCCTGCGCAGGGCTGCGCTGCCCCGGGCTGGCTGAGATGGGTCACTCACCAGGAGGACGCATGCACGGAGCGTGGGTTTTGCCAATGAACTTGGCACGTGAGGGGGTGCGCTCTCTCGCTGATGAGCGGCCTGAACACAGGCACGCTCCTGGGTGGACTGCGGTGTGCTTCACCATGGAAACGGCGGGACTGCGATTGCCAGCGACCTGCCAGCCCTGATTACCACAGAGAGACAGGAGCACAGATACAATTACTGGGGGGCCGTCTGCATTACCCACAGTGACAGGAAATGGATGGGTGGTTTAGCACCCGGATGCTGTCCTCATGGCCATTGCATCATCACACACACACACACACACACACACACGCACACGCCTGTGTCTATTTGCACACACATGATGAGGATGTGCGTGCATGTGTGTGCGTGTGTGCCTAAAGCTAGGTCCCCTTCCCAAAGACAATGAATCATGGGGGGTTTTGTGTTTAAGATGCAGAGCGTGCTCTGGAGGGGCGTCGGAACCCATCTCTGCCTCGTTAGGAGACGTCGCCCGTGGGGGACCTGAGACGGTCAGGTCTGAATCAGAGTGTGGGGACTCGGATGGGCAGGAAGGAGCCGGGAACCGCCGAGTCCTGACAGTAGGGGTTTCCATGCCCGCAGTCAAGGCTGCCACCCCAGGGAGCACTTGAGCGTGGAGATGGAAACTCCTTTTGGGGAGATGAAAAATCGCTGCTAGGCATGTGCTGAGTTTGTTTTCTCCGAGGCCTCACTCAGAGGGCTGCTGTGACGTCATGGAGGTCGGGAGTGGGTGTGGGAGGTGGACAGGAGCCTGGTTGGGGTCAGTAGCAAGCGCTCCTCGGCAGCCCTGGGCACGTCTGGTGTTCCTACTGCTCTGTTGTGATACGTCACCAATGGCCCAGGACCCTCCGAGTGATGAAGGATCAAGCTGATGGGGAGGTAAGAGGCAAGAAGTAACGGAAAGATCTACGTCCCAGTTTTAGCCCAAGACCAGCTCCCTGAGTTTCGGCAAGTTACTAAAATCATTTGAATTAAATTTATATAAATACACACACACACACACACACACACTCTGCCCCCACCCCTCCAACTCTGTGTCCAACTCTGCCCCCACCTCTCCAGGAGATACATTGAAGTCTGTAACCCCTGGGACCTTAGCCAGTGGAAAGGTCTGAGAAAGGGGAATTGTGCTGGGAACCGGGGCTTGTAGCTTGCCATCCGCATGTAGATTTTCCCCGAGGAGAACCGCCCACGAAGAGATAGTGAGAAAGTAGAAATCACGTGCATCCACTGAGCTACCTGCGGAGGCCAGGGAGTCCCGGCAGGTGTGGCCTGGTTGGAGGTGAGGGTAGTCACAGGGTTCATGCAAGGACCGATGCTGAACTCTCAGAAAGCGGCAGGAAGGGAAGAACGACCATTAGATGCAGAAGAGAGACACTGATAATGTTCTGGATCTGCCATGAGTTCCGAGAGAGAATGTCTGCAAACGGCTGGCGTCCTGAACGGTGTCCAGGGCCTTAGAAATGGAAAAGGCAAAATAGCGTTTCTAAAAGAAGATGCGTTGATGAGCTGGGCCAGAATGGCTTTGTTGCTAAAATGGTGAGGCCCCCTTTAAAGAGACGGCAGAAGAATTTTAAGGGCGAAGGAAGGAAACTGCATTTTAACAAGACTCTGTGATTTTTACATCAGATTCAAGTAACCAGAGCAAGAGAATGGGAGGAAAATGGAAAAAAGACAAAAACACAAACAAACAAAAATACACACACATACACATACACAGCAAATTAATATTAAGGCAGTTGATACTGTTAGCCCAGTGGTCGGCAAACTCATCAGTCCACAGAGCCAAATATCAACAGGACAACGATTGACATGTCTTTGGAGAGCCACATTTTTTAAACGTAAACTTCTCCTACTACTACTTCTTCAACATAGACTCCCCAGGCCGTGGTGTTTTGGGGAAGAGCCACACTCAAGGGGCCAAAGAGCCGCAGTTTGCCAACCACGGTGTTAGAGTGCCACTTTATGGGTCATTTTGTTTCAGTAATGCCGGCCACCTCAATATTGAAAGACACCTGCTCTCTCTTCCTATTTAGACTAACCATTTCCAGTGCCTTCAACTTTCAGATGGGACGCCTTACAGATCCCTCGTTATTCTGGGCAAAGTTGTAGACAATCTAACTTTAGTTTAAAACTGCACCTCTTGTCCAGCCAGGACTGAACGCCAGCTAGCATGTGAGGAATGGACTCCTATTCTTATAAATTTGATAATTCAAGGAAGCACGCTGACAGGACCTTGTCTGAATTACGGGTGTAATAGCCACATGGCCTCTCAAACTTGCTTTTGTATCCACAGCAGATTTGAACTAATTTAGCTTGATCTCTGTATCACAGTCACTGTATTGAAAACGAACTGCCTTTTTATTTGATCAACAAGGGAAGCAGAGCCAGTGAAGGATTCCAGGAGACTGGGGACGGCTGTGTACATGTGTGGGTGTGCGTGTAGCACCTGTGAATGTGTGTGAGTGTGTGTGTGTGTGTCTGTGTTTGGCAGGGGAAGGTGTGCAGGCACACAGCGTTCTGCTGGGAGATATTGCAATTGCCAGAGTTTCTTTCTAGACATAGTAACAAGAGCGTCTTGGTTTCTACTCTTTTTAGCTTAGCATGTTAGGTGAGTGAAAGACAAAAGATGGCACATACGTTTTAAGAAATGAGGACAATATGTTTATGCATGGGAATGCTTTCTTTCAGGGATAGGGGTAGAGTTAGTGAGCTTTCCAGTTTCTTGAAGGCATGGCAGATAACAATAGATAACAAAATATCCTTTATTTTTAGGGCATAAGGGACAGTTTTTAAAATATTCATGAATCTTCTTGACTAGACAGCACAGAGTACTGAGATAATCCTGTAATACGTGAGCATCTTCCTATGTTAATTTTTCCTCCAGTTTTATCTCCCTGGGGTACTCCTGTCCCAAACCTCCAAACTTCCAAACAGTCTAGTTTCTATATGGATTGCATTATCAAAATGTTCTGATATTAGGAAAACGGAACTCTTTGTGGTTTGTTTAAACAGTCCAACGCTTTCTCAGCTGGGTTTGCCATCCTGATGTATAATACATGCGTTTGAGAAGAAGAAAATTTCCAATGATAATTATTAACAAGTCAGCGTGCACTGAGGATGATTTTTCTCTTCGCTCCGTACTTTGAAAATATTCATTATGCCAGCGCACGAGAGGCAGGTGGAAATAATTTAGGGGAAAGTGAATGCATTCATTACCTAAATGCTATTTTTTTCTGATATTTTGGAAAGGATTAAATATATACACTTCAGAATCACAATTGACTAGTCCTGTTGCTTTTTAAAAATATATATATTTTATTGATTTTTACAGAGAGGGAGAGGGATAGAGAGTTAGAAACATCGATGAGAGAAAAACATTGATTAGCTGCCTCCTGCACGCCCCCCACTGGGGATGTGCCTGCAACCAAGGTCCATGCCCTTGACCGGAATCGAACCTGGGACCCTTCAGTCCGCAGGCCGACGCTCTATCCACTGAGCCACACTGGTCAGGGCAACTAGTCCTGTTTCTATCTGTGTTGACTTTCACATTCTGCTTGGCATCCCCGCTCCTCCCCTGCTCTGTGTCTGCTTAAAAACAGGCCTCCACCAATCGGAAGGGAATGTGTCCAGTGGTGTGGTTTCCAAGGTGAAGGGAACTACTTGTTGAAAATGCGTTCGAGGCCCCAACCCTCGAGACTTTGATGCAGCCCCTCTGCCTGGCTTTGCTGCAACTGAATTTTTCAGGCATTCGGGTGATTCTTAGGATGTGGACAAACACTGGAAAAAACACCGACTCAGAATTATTCCGCAGACACATATTAAAGACTTTTTTGCATTACTGCTGTTTTGAATTATCCACAGCACTCATTACACCCACTAATAAAAATAACTGGCTTAATTACAAATGGCATCTGAATTACGTCTTTAAATGTAACTGCTTCTCTCCAAAAAATTCAGTATTTTATCTAATTCTCCCTCTCTCTCTCTCTCTCTCTCTCTCTCTCTTTCTCTCTCTCTCTCTCTCTCTTAATATGTTCGGGATTCACTTAAAGTATATAAAGCAAATGTTTTTTTCTCTTATATATTGGTCTTCAGGTTAATTGTGTTTTTATTCTCTGTTTGCAGGGTCCAAGTTGAATTCTATATGAATGAAAACACATTCAAAGAGAGACTCAAGTTATTTTTTATTAAAAATCAGCGATCAAGTAAGTCCTGTTTTATTTCCTCTATGTGTTTGTACATCTATTTTCCTCTAACTGTTCCAGTGCAATCCTTCTGAAAAATATCCTTTAAATGGAGGCAAACAATTGATAATCTTGTCTGCCAGGCATTCAAATGATAGGAAACTAGAGATGCAGTGCATGAAATTTGTGCACTGGAGGAGGGGGGTTCCTCAGCCTGGATTGCGAGAGGGCACAGGCCAGGCCGAGGGATCCCACCAGCGCATAATTGGGGCTGGAGAGGGTCATCTCAAATTCACTCACAGGTAGCCATAAGAAAATGACATTTCATATCCAGATTGTATTTTATTCACTAGTAATTATAGGATGGCCTTTCTCTCCATTTTATTCATAATGCACGAATCAGAAATTGCCTGAGTATTGCAGGGAAGATAATGCTTCTGTTCATCAGACTTGAAGCATGTAGCATGTTTTGCTTAATCATAATGGCTTTTTCATCATCATGAATTATTACAGGTCGCATAGCGATGATCTACATGGTTTTGCAGGGTATATACACATGACAATCTTAATCCACTTCCCCCCAAAATATTAAGACTTCACTGATATTTAATCTAAAGGGGGAAGTAAGTTTCAACTGGTTAAACTCAAAAATGTGTGTGTGAGTGTGTACTTCCCAGAATAGTCTATAATGATTTCTCTCTAATTTCGTAATTACTACATTGAAGTATAATATATAGTTATAGACATGATTATAATTTCTCTATAATTAAAATCTGCAAGGTGTTCTGATTTATGGGTACAAGATTTATAACTTAACCTGTGAATGTGTAAGCAGCTAGATTTTAAAATTTACCCCCAAATTCATAAATGTGTGAAATGCTTACACATATGTGAAGCATGCTTTATGGGACATGATTTTTGTGGCTTCTGTGAGACCTAGACCACTCTCTGTGTATAGTGTTAGCTGTCATTTGCTGTTCAAGCCATCTGTCAATCACACTCTTGGTTTCCAAATTCAGCTAGTAATTACCGTTCAGCTACCTTGAACTTCAGAGAGTGTAGACAATGATGGCACTGAAGTTTCTAAATACAACCTATAAGTGCTGTGCTTAATGATGTTTTTGATAATCCTTTTTAGTCTCTTTTTTGGACTAAGTTCCAATGAAAATCAAATTCTTTGTTGTTTGTTTAAAGGTCTAAGAATACGCCTGTTCAATTTCTCTCTCAAATTACTAAGCTGCTTGTTATACATCATCCGAGTCCTGCTGGAAAGCCCCTCACAAGGAAATGAATGGTAAGTTATTAATATTTCGGTCTGACGCTCCGTAATAGTCTTCTGATTTCTTTGAATTGTGTTATAATCTTAGAGGATGCTACATAGAATTAATTTTTTTCCAAGGATGTTTTAGGAACTGATCTGTCTTTCAGGTAGAACATGAATATCACCTTTGTACGTTCTTTTCAAACATCTTTGCTTATGTTCTTTATCTGTTCCTCTAATGCTAGTAACACCGGCCAACTGCCCATAACGTTTTTACTGCTAATCAAAACACTGTCATTGTTTAATATGGGTCTGTCTCTTTAAACACTCACCACCTTTCTGTTCTTAATTTATATATATTACTCTATTGTCTACCAGCTGTGCACTTATTTCCAGTGGTAGTCTAACTGGTACTCTTTTTAAAATTATATTTTTATTGATTTCAGAAAGGAAAGGAGAGGGAGAGAGAGATAGAAACATCAATGATAAGAGAGAATCATGGATCGGCTGCCTCCTGCACACCCTGCTACGGGAGATTGAGCCCGCAATCCAGGCATATGCCTTTGACCAGGATCGTACCCGGGACCCTTCAGTCCACAGGCCGTGGCTCTATCCACTGAGCCAAACCAGCTAGGACTAGCTGGTACTCTGGAATAGAATCACTCCAGCATCCATGACTATGTCAAGTGCACAGTTAGCTTATGTAGTTCTTGATCTTATTTGAGTTAAATGGCTTATCGATTTAGCTTATTTTTTATTCATGATGGTGCTGCCTTTATTAATTGCATTGCTGGACGTTGATGGACTTTAGTCTCTGCCTCCCCTGGACGCCGCAGGGAAGGGGACCAGGAGGGCAGGCACCTGGATCATTCTGATCTGATTACACCTTGGGCCCCTGCCCAGCCTCCCAAATTTCACATGACTTTCAAAGCAGGGAGCAGATGCGATGGTGAACTTCTGTGCGATTGTTATTATTATTTTTTCCCTGTGGAGGTTTGCCCTAAGAAAATATAAAAAATAAAATAAGAAAGATTAAAATCAAATGGAAATGCTAAGCATGGAAATGTACGGGTTACTCTTCTGTTTGGGCAGCAAAGACGATTCTGCATTTGCTAGAGGGCTCTGAGATGAAGTGATGATGAACAAGTGGAGTTGGATGGTGTGACCGTTGACGTGCTGTGCCTTTAAGAAGTATTTATTTATGGAAGGAGCCCGGTGGCTATTTCCGAGTGCCTTTGCTGGGTGGTTAGCCTGTGTCTGTGAGACCGCAAAAGGGGACACAGCTGGGAGAGCGACATGGTCTACCCTCAGGGATTGTCAACCTGTGAAGAGTTTGCATGCCCTGGCGTTCCTGCTCTGTCTGCCATTGGTCCACTTGTTTCATGTCCCTCTCTCTCTCTTTCTCCCTCTCTCTCTCTCTCTCTCTCTCTCTCTCTCTCTCTCTCTCTCTCTCTTTTAAATATGGTTTTATTGATTTCAGAGAGAGGAAGGGAGAAGGAGAGAGGGAGAGAAACATCAACGATGAGAGCAAATCATTGATTGGCTGCCCGGGCTCAGTAGTTCAGTGGGTTAGGGTCTTGTCCCAATAAGCCAAGGTTTCAGGTTCAATACCCGGTCAGGGCACCTACAGAAATCACCCAGTGAATGCATAAATAATTGGAAAGCATATCCATGTTTCTCTCCTATCTCCCTCTCTGTCCCTTTCCTCTTGAAAAAAAAAATCAAGAAAGAAAGTTAAAAAAAATTGAAAGACAGAAGTCTGCCTATAAGTGGACCCATGTAGTTCAAACCGGTGTTATTTAGGGGTCACCTTAGTCATTTCTCTACTGCATTGGCCTCTGGAGCCCTCATGCTCAGCACAGGCCTTGGTGGGTCAGCAGACGTGGCTGAGCTGATGGAATTAGGCCCCACAGCTGTACTGTTTGTGTGGCCCCACGGAGATGATTGAAGAACATCACCTAGCCCTGTGGTAGGCAAACTGCGGCTCTCAAGCCACATGTGGCTCTTTGGCCCCTTGAGTGTGGCTCTTCCACAAAATACCACGGCCTGGGCGAGTCTGTGTGGAAGAAGTGGCGTTAGAAGAAGCTTAAGTTTAAAAAATGTGTCCCTCAAAAGAAACTTCAATCGTTGTGCTGTTGACATTTGGCTCCGTGGACTCATGAGTTTGCCGACCACTGGCCTAGAGACATCAGTGCCCACTCCATGGATGACATGTTTCTGCCCATGTGGTGCCAAACATGATTCCCACTACAAAGCCTTTGAAAAATATGGCAGAACTGTTTTCAAAACCCGGTGACCTGTGAATAACACGTGTGTCCGTCAGAGAGACCTGAGCATCATACACTGAGTTTCGGGAAGATTCTCTGAGGGTAAAAGGGCGAGGGCAGGAGGGCAGCAGAGGGAAATGCTATTGTTTGAGAACATTAAGAGAACAAGGTTTCCTACAATTAGTTTCTAGGTCATGTGACTAAGACTCTTTAGCCATTAATTACAGAGGACACAGGTTGAGAAATCAGATTATTGCAATTCACAAACAACCACAAGAAGTCCCAGCTCCATGTGAAATGGGGATGCTGTGTGGGGCCCCCGGTGGGGTGGCCCCGGTTAATGCAAAACAGAAGTGGCCGCTCTGGGCCAGGCTCCCCTTTAGAATAATGAGGCCAACTCAGCGAGGAGATTTATCGAATTAGACATAATAAAGCTGCAGCTACTTTGTGCTGCTTGGCTATATTTTCAAGTCCCTTCCAGGGTCAAGACGGGTATGAAAATGTGGCAGAAGTCTGAGCAGACGGGAGGCTCTGAGAGGAAGTGTGTTGTTCACGCAGAGTCTCATGAGAGACTCTCAGGTGCACGCAATTTGTGATTCAGGGGTGCTCTGAGCAAAGGGAACGCCACACCCAGCAGGTGGTTCCTGAGTTCCATGGCGGGGTGAGCCATCAGCATTGACTCACTGCCTCCTGGTGCTTACAGTTCTTCACTACCTGTCAAAACTGGCCCTAGCTGGTGTGGCTCAGTGGGTAGAGTGTCGGCCTGCAGACTGAAGGGTCCCAGGTTCAATTCCAGTCAAGGGCACATGCCCGCATTGCGGGCTCAATCCCCCCAGTAGGGGGCGTGCAGGAGGCAGCCAATCCATGATTCTCTCCATTGATGTTTCTATCTCTCTCTCCCTCTCTCTTCCTCTCTCAAATAAATAAAAACCTCAGGCATCCTTCTCACTCTAAAAATGTGGAAATGGCTCTTATTTTTAAACATCAGGTGAGACACAAATGTATGCAGCCCGCGACGGTGCTTATGTTAGGGCGTCTGGAATAAATTTAAAACCAGAGCCTAACACAGCGACAGGTGTGGTGTGTTCCCCTCAGGCTTCTGTCAATGGGGTGGAACTGCATTTGGAAGTACGGACTGGCTGCCAGCTGGTCCCCTCCTCATTTGTTTTGGACATTATCTAAAAACGCACAAATCAGTCAGATAGATAGATAGATAGATAGATAGATAGATAGATAAATAGATAGATAGATATAGATATATAGATATAGATAGATATATAGGTATATAGATATATAGATATATAGATTCATCTCATTTATAAAGGATAGTCTAGGTACTAGTTTTGTTTTTAATTAGAATTTATACATTTCTTTCTATGCATTTATCCAATGTAATGCTTAGTAGGTGAGTGAAGAATAGGTCTTCCCTTCGAAGGTCTCACTATATATTGAAATTTATATATCTGAGATTTATAGAAATGCCTTTTTTTTTTTTTAAGGATTCTACAACAGTCTACATGACATAGTCTTGTCTCAAAAAATACTTTTCTCCAAGGTCTCCTTTATACTTAAATGCTCTATGATATTTCAAGATCTATGAAAACAACATCCCAGATCAAAGGAAATTCTGTTAGCTTGGTAAAAGTAACTTTTTAGCAAAGCCATGGTGTTCTGGGCGAGGATAAATAATGTTTGAGTCAGAGGTGAAATGATTTTTAAGAGATAGTTAACTCCTTGTCCTGTATAATGTTCTATGCTATCCTCAGTCACAGATTTTTAGTGATATGTTAACTATTTTATACAAATCCAATCATGGAATATTAATGTGCTCTATCATCTGAGTTATTTGGCTTGTTAACACTGTTGAATTTGTATTGCCAAGTAGTGAAAGCTGTAAAATTAACAAAACCTTAGAGTTGATAGAAGACCTTTAAGTGAATTTTCAATGGGGAATTCGACTAATAAAGGGTTTGAGGATTTTGTACCTTGCCATAACCACTCTTTAAATAGAGGCTCATTATCTTTTCTTTTATTATTAATATGAGCCTGAAAAGATGAAGTTTAAAAGGGTATTTTCTGGAATAGAAATGGATATTATTATTATTATTAAAAAGAAAAACTAAAAAAGCATAAAGCTTTTCTCATGTTAATGTTGACATTTTATTGTCCCTTTATGCCAGCATTATTTAAATGTTTCCAACCTCAATCTCAGTTTTAAAATGAATGCCTTTCCCACATTTTAAGAAAGTGACATCTTCTTATTCTTTTCACAGGTCTCATATCTTCTGGGTGAACAGAAGTCTACCCTTATGGGGCCTACAGGTAACGTGCCATTTGGTTTTCTCCCCATGTTTCTGGATGTAACCCTATTTCCCAGAGAAATGCTATTGGAGAGGAACTGTTGGTATTAAAGAGGGGTTCGCTTGCTTTCTTGCTTAATTAACCTCGAGGGTAAAAGGGCAAGGGCAGGAGGGGAGCAGAGCGCATCTCAGACCCACTCTCTCACCCCTTACTTGGTGTTTGCCTGAGAGTTGCTTTTTGTCCTGCCAACATCTCTGTGATGAAGGTTGTCAACCAGGGTCTACAGCCCTGCCTGTTTCCTAACCAACTTCCCTGTTCCTGCTACACCATCCCTGAACAACTAAATCCAAAGACAATTTCCGATGTGCTTTAAATATAAATTATATATATATATATATATATATATATATATATATATGATTGAGTTTTTACAGAGAGGAAGAGAGAAGGATAGAGAGTTAGAAAAATCGATGAGAGAGAAACATTGATCAGCTGCCTCCTGCACACCCCCCACTGGGGATGTGCCCCCAACCAAGGTACATGTCCTTGGGCGGAATTGACCTGAGACCCTTGAGTCTGCAGGTTGCATGTAATATGTAGTACTATAAGCATGAATGTATGTTATTTTAATTTTTTTGCATTTTCTCATTAAAGTATAATTTATATTTTAGGTGTTAGTGGCCTTGATAAGTCTATTTGAAACCATACTACTGGGTTATCTCAGTTATAAGGTAAGTTTTCATTAGACTTTTTTTTTGCTAATAGAACACATTACTAATATTTATCCAGCTTTCCTCTCTTTCTAATTCATACTTTGGGGGTAAAGCAAGCTCTTTTTAAACCAATTTAATTATTTTGGGGCTCTCTAGTATGTGATAAAAAAACACGGTGGTGATATAGTTATTTTCTCCTTGGTGGCTTCACTCATTCCTACGGTAACTTATCCGCTGTGCGCATGCTCACAGGAGTCAAGCAGACTCAACGGTCTGCTTCTTCATTGTCCTCAGCCTCTTTCCCGATCCATACAAAAAACATCGAGGGAGCAAAAGCACGTCTATTAGGAATCATCTTAATGAGTGCTCTTAATTTTTGGCAAAGCTGTGGGTAACGCAATTTACCCCAAAGTTATTGAGCCTCTGTTTGAAGGAGACCTCCAAGCTGGGCGCTGGTGCTGATTTGTTTGTTTTCTGTGGGTTTACAATCGGGAAATGGGGCTAGGTAGGAGAAAGTTATGCAAAAGGCAGAGTGAGAAGTGTTTGTTTGTTTGTTTGTTTAGTGAGTTGGTTCATAGAGAGAGGCCAGTTTATGGGATGAAACGAAGGACTTGACTGATTATGCTGAGTCCTTGAATCAGCAATCTCGCTAAGGAAAGGGGAAAAGACAGGACAAAAAGATTTAAGGAATTAAGAAAGGCACAGAGGAAGGAATGCACCTATGAAATGGACATAGTAATTCATATTTAAGTGTGGCCAGAACGTAGGGTGTCTGGGGAAATATTGTGCAAAACGTTTGGGACAACATTCTGAGCAGCTCGTACTGGGCCCTGGGAATTAAGTCCTGATTCACTTCCTTGCACAGCGTGGGTTGGGAGAGCAGAATCGAGATGATTGAAAAACCTCTTCCGTTGCGGTTTCTTGTTGTAAAAGCCATGAACATTGTTAACAAGTGGTGTGTTCAGGAACTGTTTTATATGCTTTACAGTTTATGAATATGCTTATTACAGTAAACATTATATTGAGTCACTTTTTCATTGATTCCATAGGTTTTTGTTAGTGTGTTTTATTTTTATTGGTAACTTTTCTCCCATGAAATATTATTATAGAATCAGAGTGTGTTGTGGGCAATATCCAAGGATTATAGGAACATTTGTTTTGCTTCTTTTTAAAAACAAACAAAACTATTTTAATTGATTTCAGAGAGGAAGGGAGAGGGAGAGAGAGATAAGAACAGTAATGATGAGAGAGAATCATTGATTGGCTGCCTCCTGCACGCCCTCTACTGGGGATTGAGTCAGCAACCCAAGCTTATGCCCTAAAGAGGAATAGAACCGTGACCTCCTGGTTCATAGAGCAATGCTCAACCATTGAGCTACACTGGCCGGGCTTGCTTCTTAAACTTACTACAAAATTGAGAGGGCACAATTGCATTTAGAGAAAAATAATCTCTGAAAATTATTGCTATACCTTTTTAAAAATAATTTCTCATTTACTTATTTATTTTTGAAAGACTCACATTTCTTTATCTTGTTTTAACTTTATTTTTCTTGTAGACACACTACTTCACATGGTCCCATTTCTCCCCCTTTATATAATGACTCAGTCTTCTGCCGTCATAAGCATGCCCCATGCTGGAGAAGTCCTGAGATGCTGTCATTCCTCTCTCTAATGGGACTTGATGTGACTGACTTTTATTTTTATTTATTCTTTCTTGGAAGGGAAACATCTGGGAGCAGATTTTGCGAATACCCTTTATCTTGGAAATCATTAATGCAGTTCCCTTCGTTATCTCAGTAAGTCCTAAAAGCATCTTAAAAAAAATAAATAACTTTGTCATTAGACTTCAGTAATGTCTTTAAAATCTAAATGCTAAAAAACTATATATCAAAATTTAGCTCAGATGCATGCATTTAGGTTTTGGTTAGAATCATTGTATTAAAAAATAAATAGCAAACTCAGTGGGGGACCTGCGTGAAATTAAATAAAAACTTAGGAGGTTTAGCAAAATGAAACACTTCTTAAAAATATATGATGCAGGAGTGCCGTTTAACCAAGTGCCAATATTGCCTAAACAAACTAGAAATTATTCCATTTCTTGTGGATAGGGTGGAATTAGAAGATGCAGAAAGCAAAGAGAACCAGTTATTTATACACATTTCTCTCACCGAGAGTACACGTCTCTCTGGTTTAACCACAGGGTTGACTAATTATCTCGTTAATAAGGAAGTTGTCAACAGCCAGACAGCCAGCAATTTGCTTCTTTATCCAAGTTTGGGGAGCACCCACTTCCCGAAGGTCTGAGTCAATGGCACGCCTGCGCTGCCAGCTTTGGTTTTAACTCCTACTTGACAGAGTTGCAAGAGCCTGTGGGGACTGAGCTCCTAGCAATGTTGAGTTGTATTTGGGAAAAGATGAGGATGAGCAGATGTCTAACGGTCACTGGCTTCTGACAATGACTTCCACCTGGTGATTTATCCAGAGGAGCGGCTGGGATTAGATCGAATGGCTCAGTGAATGCCGTTTCAATTAAACGTGGTTCCCCAAGGTCACTTAGGATGTCTGAATCTTGAGACTGAGGGGCAATGTCTTAAAAGCAACGCTTTCTCTTCTTGTTCTTGCTTCTCTCCTCCCCCCAAGTTGCAAAGAAGGAAGAGGGGATATCTATCATAGTACAAACTCTCACAGTGAGAGATGTGATGATGGAATTGGCATCATTATATCAGACACCCAGTGAGAGCTTTATTATTTTCTTCTGTAATGATTTCCCAAATAATTTTCCTCTAAGTAAGAATCAGACAATGATGAAAAAAAAAAAATCATACCTGCTCCTTGCATTTTGGAAATCATTAATGCAGTTCCCTTCGTTATCTAAGTAAGTCCTAAAAGAATCTTAAAAAATAATGATAGTTTTGTCATTAGATTTCAGTTATGTCTTTAAATCTAAATGTTAAAAAAAAATGTCAAAATTTAGTTCAGATAAATGGTCTTGGTTAGAATTATTATATTAAAAAATAAATAGCAAAATTAATGAGTTGAATGTATTTGTCACATGTTTCAAATTGTTCTGTTGTCTTTAATAACTTTTTTTTTTTTTTTTCTGTTTTGCATTTCTTTTCGATCTGCTGGATCTGATTCCTTGCTTTGAGATAAAGTTTCGTGTTGATTTGTTTTTCAGATATTCTGGCCCGACTTACGAAATCTCTTTGTCCCAGTCTTTCTGAACTGCTGGCTGGCCAAACATGCCTTGGAAAATATGATTGTAAGTATGAAAGTGACACACAAAGGCAGACATCTTTTTCAACCTTTCACATGTCCTACTTTCAGTGTTCAGATTCAACAGAGAGAGAGCAGGTGACTCAACGTCTTTGTCTCACTCCTTCTCACCTGCTTTTGAGTATAAATTCAGATGACAAGGATTTATTTAGTTATAATTAAACTAGAGGCTCGATGCATGAAGATTCGTGCAAGAATGGGCCTTCCTTCCCCTGTCTGCCAGCACCATCTTTGCTCTGGCCTGATCTGCCTTTCTGCCATTGGGTTAATTTACATACTCACTCCTGATTGGCTGGTGGGCATTACGAATATATGGTCAATTAGCATGTTACTCTTTTATTAGGTAGATATCTACATGTTTTATTTGCAAACTTCTTTTAAATAAATTCAGTATTTTAGTAAATAGTTTCATTTAGATGTTTGTAAAAATGAAAGCGTTTTGGTAAAATGTTATGAAATAATTCAAGTGACCTGTTGTATGGGTGTCTAAGCTAATGAACGTCTGCTTTTACCCTAATCAGAACCAAAACTTGCAAAGCAGCCCCACGGCCAAGCTACTTCTTTGCCAGGCCCTAAGAACTGGTAAACCACAATGATTCCGAGTTTCTACATATCACCAACCCAAAGCCCAGGCTGTTTAAATGGATCCCATGAGGGAGTCCACCTTCCGAAGGCAAATCACCTTTCTGGGTGACCTGTTCCTGAGTGATGGGGCCCTGGTTCTCAGGATCCATCAGGTCATGGAGTCAGTCCCTGTAACTGTCTGGGCCTCATATTTCCTAAAAATTTGTGGGGTTTGAAAGGCACCGTATTGGAGGCGGAAGCTCCTCGTGTAGAGTCATCTTTGTCATTTTGGTTGGGTGGTGCCTGGGATATTAGGAGGGGCAAACAGAAGCAAGAAGAAAAAGATGCAGCGTTCAGAGTGGCCCCCGTTTCGCTTTGCCCAAGGCTGACGCTATTGGGCAGGACCGGTGTGGAACCATGACCAAAACATGTCTACGGCAGAACTCACCACTTAGCAGCCAGCTGGCCCTAAGACTTTTGCCGTCTAGTCATTGCTTCTACAAATGTTCATAAAAGCCCACTATATGCTCGTCACTCTGATAGGAGAGCTAAGAGGTTCAATTTCTTTGCCAATTTCTTCATCTTCAAAAGAGAATAAAAGTGTCCACATACCAAGCTTGTTGTGAGAATTAAATAAAACTACATATATTTACATAAATGTGTGTGTGTGTGTGTGTGTGTGTGTGTGTGTGTGTGTCTATAGAAGGCATAAACATCGTAAGGGCTCAATATGATGACTTTTATTACACTGAAATGAAAATGTTCCAGAGGCAAACTTGTTTTTCTTCTAAATGGCTTTTAAACAGCAATTATGACCCAAGTTTTGGCCGGAGGAATATTTGGATAACATTTGAAGCGTTGTCACCGGATGAATGTTTTTAAACATCCATGCTAGTGACCACTTTGTCTCAGGAAAATCCATGGCCAAACCGTGGGCGAGTGTGGCCACGGATTTTAGAAACTCTGAGCTGTCTTAGCTGTTGGAAATGAAAAAACATAAACCTATTTCACTAGACAGACAGAGCCTACTTTGCTAATGAAAAACACGCACCAGGAAAAAATAACTCCCTGATAAATTAGTTGGTGGAAAAGATAGCCCCACCAGGAGAGAAATGGCATTAGTTGGTGGAAAAGAGAGCCCCACCAGGAGAGAAATGGCTTGTCAGTTCTTGAGAAGAAGGGAGGACTGTCCATATTCACTTAGGGTGCATTTCCCATTGTATTTCTGTGTGTTGCTTCTCTTCCTCTCACTGGTTGCTACATGCTTATTTGTTTGGGTTTTGTTTTTGCTCAGAAGAAAAGTGAGGGTTGAGAGGTGAAATTCTGTTCAGCTTAGCTTTTTTTTTTTTTAAAAAAAATATTTTATTGATTTTTTAAAGAGAGGAAGGGAGAGGGATAGAGAGTCAGAAACATTGATGAGAGAGAAACATGGATCAGCTGCCTCCTGCACACCCCCCACTGAGGACGTGCCCGCAACCAAGGTCCATGCCCTTGACTGGAATTGACCCTGGACCCTTCAGTCTGCAGGCAGATGCTCTAGCCACTGAGCCACACAGGTTTCAGCAGCTTTTTGAGAGTTCTGGTGAAATGTATGGTGAGGAAGATTACATGCTGGCTCTTGGGGATTTTATATTGGTGAAGTGGTCTCCTGCTCTACTGATTGTAAGACTATTAATAGCTTCCTATAAAACATTTTGAGATGAACTGGGAGAGAGCAAGTAAAGTATTATGAAAATCTTACCATTCTACCATGCAGACTAATTACTAGTAATAATTTATATCCTAACATTTTCTGTGAACATACGCATACACTACCTTCTACCATATTGTATGTTCGAGCTTATAATTTTTTTATATATATATATATATTTTATTGATTTTTCACAGAGAGGAAGGTAGAGGGATAGAGAGCTAGAAACATTGATAAGAGAGATACATCGACCAGATGCCTCCTGCACACCCTCCACCAGGGATGTGCCCACAACCAATGTACATGCCCTTGACCGGAATCGAACCTGGGACCCCTCAGTCTGCAGGCCGATGCTCTATCCACTGAGCCAAACTGGTTTCGGCTCGAGCTTATAATTTGAGTTTTTATAATATACTAGTCTGTAGTGGAAAGGTTCCTACGTCATAAAATATTCTTCTTCAAATCAGTTTTAATGGGTACATCTAAACCTATTATATAGTAAGGTATGTTTTGACACAGGCAAAAATGAAAATATGTTGATGTGTTGATTGAAAGTATAGGCATTGAGTATGCACAACATAGTTGAAATGCACTACACAGTAATAAATGTAATGAAGCTCATGGATATTTAATAGTTATCAACATTTAAAATATGCTTCTCTGTCTTATTTTAGAACGATCTGCACAGGGCCATTCAGCGTACACAGTCTGCAATGTTTAACCAGGTTCTGATTTTGATATCTACACTGCTCTGCCTTATCTTCACCTGGTAAGATTCTACAGATCAGCCTTTTGATAATGTTTTACTTCACTCCAGTTTCTTAAAAAGATGTATTATAAGCCATTTTAATTAATAGTTGAATAAAAATCATCCATTTTTCATTCAATCACTGTCACTGTAACATGTAATGGATTGCCTACAGAAACAGAGGTAAAACCCTCCCTTCAGTCTCACAGAAAAAGCAGGAAAGCACAGCTCGCAGCCCTAGTCAGTGTGGCTCAGTGGATAGAGCATCAGCCTGCATACTGAAGGGTCCCAGGTTCGATCCCAGTCAGGGGCACATCCCAGAGTTGATTCCTGATGGGGGGAGTGTAAGATCAATGATTCTCTCATCATTGATGCTTCTGTCTCTCTCTCCCTCTCTGAAGACAATAAAAGAAAAGCATTCAGCTCTCATGTGATATTATATTTACTCCAACTGGCATTTCCCCGAATGCTGGAAACCGCTGAATCACAGCGTTTGTCTCGCGGGCCAGGGCTGTCAAACAGGAATGGCCCTCACACCCTGACAGGCAGGTGGTTAGTGGGAAGACTATTGAGCAAACGGTCCCGCCTGTCCCTGCGCCTGCAGGTGCTGCTCGCTGTGCCATGCGGGAGTGCATTCAGGCAGAGAGCAAGGGCCGGCCTCGGGGTGCTTTGCTTTGCCGCACAAACCAGTCCTTCCTCCCCGGGGAGGGCCCCGCTCTGACGTTAAAACGTCCGCCAGCCTGCAAAGCACCCACAGTCCTGCTCAGGATCCATCAGCAACAACTTGGGGCTAGAATCCCCACCGAGCCATGTCAGAGGGAGGGTTTGGGTTAAAGGCATTCACTCTCCCACATGTTTACTGTCTAAGCACAGAGGCCTGCCAACAGTAAGTCTTAAATACGCTTGAGGGACATGTGATGAGTCCGCTCAGGTCCTTCCTGGAGCAAAGAATGTGGAACCACAAGATGAGGGAGAGGCTGTGTCTGTGTTTGCAGGCCTCGTGGCGGTCATGGGTAATTGTGCTCTGACCTGGAGTTGACTTATCGAGGAAGAGGGAAAACTAATTAGGAAGTACTGAAATAGAAGGGCGCGCTCAGACACCGGGCCAGCGGAACCAGATAGAACGAGAGCTATACATGCAGGCATGCGTTTATTTTAAAACCTACTTTGTTATTAGTGTTTTTAAAAATATATATTTTATTTATTTTTTTTTTTACAGAGAGGAAGGGAGAGGGAGGGAGAGTTAGAAACATGGATGAGAGAGAAATATCAATCAGCTGCCTCCTGCACACCCCCCACTGGGAATGTGCCCTCAACCAAGGTACATGCCCTTGACCGGAATTGAACCCGGGACCCTTGAGTCTGCAGGCAGATGTTCTATCCACCGAGCCAAACTGGCTAGTATTTTAAATGTGATATTTTTAATTTTATTTTAAAAATATATTTGTATTGATTTCAGAGAGAGAGAGAGAGAGAGAGAGAGAGAGAAACATCAATGATGAGAATCATGGATGGGCTGCCTCCCGCACGCCCTCTACTGGGGATGTGCCCGCACCCAAGGTACATGCCCTGGACCAGAATCAAACCCGCAGGCCGACGCTCTACCCACGGAGCCACACTGAGTAGAGCTACATGCATGTGTTGAAATAGAGTCATGAACTGTTCGCAAGGGGATGCGGTCTGAAGGGTCCCGGGTTCGGTGGTTTTGTCGCTGTGAAACCTGGGTGGTATGGCCTAACAGTGTCATTGTATGTGCTACACTGTCACTGTATGTGCTACACTGTCCTTGTATGTGCTGATCTGTCACACAATCGGCAGGGCATCATCACAGACCTGCGGTAACATGCAGCCTGTGATGTTGACATGGCTATGACAGCATGCGGCAGTGGGCATTTTTTTCAGCTCCATTATAATCTTTTGAGACCACTGACATCATTCTGTGGCTGTTGGCTGTATCAGTCTAGACATATGGGTACAACCGCCCGCTTGCATCAGCAGCAGGAGGTGAATTTCTCTATTAAATGGATTGAAAATATATCTGTGGCACACCTTTGTACTTAAAAAAAAATAAACATTTTAGGAGAGTTAATGCCTTTAAACATAAAATACCCCTCTGAGATGACCCGGTGATGATCTTAGCCATCCTGTATACCCTAGAGCAAGACTATCCATGCTTTCCAAAACCAGAACTGCAGTATGTTCTAAGCTAAGCCCCAAGGAGTCAAGAACTCATATCTGATGCACTGGCCGAGCGCTGTGCACCGATCTCCCACACTCTTAGAATCACCTGCTTTGGAAAGCTCACGTGGTTTTAAGAATGTGTCTGCCCTCCATCATTATCCCCATCACAAAGAGCCGTCATTAAGCATCTGGCGACGGGACACAGCTGAAGCCACGCACCCACGCCTGCGGGAAGGCGCTCAGAATAGAGTCATTGTGATGGAATTGGAGGAGCCGTGGCCCACGTCCCCCACGCGCCCCACTCTTGGCCAATAGCACCCGCTCCCGGGCATCTGGGACTTGGGATTCAGCCCGAGTCCCGGGAACAAAGCAAGTCCCTGGCTCTATCCCGGAATTCGGTGTCTGACTTTAGCTTAATTATTGGCCTATCCTGACCGATAATAATCGCTCTCATTCATCATGCATTTGGTGTGCCCATTTTAGATCTGCAGGCTTATTTGGAAGCGACGTTGCTTCAGACTTTAGTTTTTTTTATTTGAATATGTATTATTTCATCGAGTTCAAACCGAGAGAGAGAGAGAGAGAGAGAGAGAGAGAGAGAGAGAGAGATCGATGGGGTTCATGCATGTTTCATGGTTTAGTCAGATGTGAAATAACTAATTCACGTCTTCCTCAGCCTGATCTCAGGAAACAAGAAGGTCATTTACTTTAGGTTTAAAAATGTGACTCCGTGAAACGTTGTTTTCCTGATGAATTCAAAAGCACTTGGGATTTCTTGCACCTTTGATTGCTGGTTGTTTGACTAGATGCTTGGGTTCTCCTATTTACTGATTCCCCTCCGAGGTCAGTGGCTGGCCAGGGAGGGGATGGCACGGTTTGGAGGAAGTGTTTGAACATGGCCTAGTGGCGTCAGCACCGTCACAGTTGATTCCTAGTTCTGATTGGTCAGGCTTGTTTGGCCTCCACAGTAAATGAAGGACAGGAAGTGCGTGTGTGGGAAGGTCTGGCCACAGACTAACAGCTCCAGGTCACACTGGAGCAAACAGGAGAGATTTTGTCCCAACTCAAGTCTGCATGAGCTTAGGCAGGCAGGCTTTAGTAGTTAATTAGCCAATCAAGGCAAGTTTAATTTGGGAGAAAAGAGGATATGGTCATTTAACATATGTAAATCAGAATGATGTAATTCTGATTAATATTAAAAAAAATCTAACATGGCTTGGGGTTAAAAATCTGTTTGCAACAAGCTGTTTTTGAAACATGACATCAGTTGCAGATAGTTCTTTTCAAATACCCAAATGCTGAGGATAACAGCTAACAGTTCAAGTGGTTACTATTGTTTGGCACTTTTCTGAGCCTTTGACATGTGTTAACTATTTTAAGCTTCAACAGTCTAAAAAGCAAATTCTGTTATTATCTTCATTTTATAGTGAAAAAACAGAGACGCACAATCGTTTAAGAAGTTTACAAAAAGAAACAGTTAGGTCTGTCTTTAATTTTTTAGGAGAAGAAAAATCATTGGGTTGATTTTTTTAGCTTTAGTGCTGACAGTATTCCAGTATCCTCATTTCCCCCCACTTTTCCCTCCTCCACTCAGACCTCACCACCCACCCCCTTCTCTCTGGCCTTCACCACACTGTTGTCTGTGTCTCTAGCTTATGCACACATGTTCTTTGGCTGTTTAGATCTTGTCTTCAGTGCTCACCTATCTACTCTGGGATGAGAAACTAATCAGTCTGATGCCCTATTCTCAGCTAAGTTAAAACATTGTTCACAGATTTCCATGAGCAATTGTCTGAGAACCTACATTTTATAGAATTTAAACCACCACTGCATTAAGCGGATAATATAGTTATTTTCAGAAATATAAGAACTTAGAAATGATGCTACTTGCACATTTTTAGGGATGTATTATAAAAATAAGAGAAAAAAGGGGTGGTGGTGGCGAGTGCAGGTTATATAAGCAATGTATGTACAATAGACCACATTGGCGTTAGCCTCGGGAAGCTTTTTTCACACTATTTTATCAGAAGTGGAGTTGAAGGCTTAGCCAGGTAGAGGCAGGAACACCATTTTTATAATATACTTAGAACGTTTCTAGTTAGCCCTAACCGGTTTGGCTCAATGGATAGAGCATCGGCCTGCAGACTCAAGAGTCCCAGGTTCGATTCTGGTCAAGGGCATGTACCTTGATTGCAGGCACATCTCCAGTAGGAGGTGTGCAGGAGGCAGCTGATAAGACGTTTCTCTCTCATCGATGTTTCTACCTCTCTATCCCTTTCCTCTCTGTAAAAAAAAAAAATCAATAAAATATATATATATATATTTTTAAAAAAAGGTTTCCAGTTGGAAGTGAGGGTGCAGGGGTGAGAGAAAGCCACGGTTGTCATCCCACACCAGCCAAGAACCAAAGGCTTTTGTCTTTACAAGGAAGCTCTGAGGGGAAGGCTCTGTGACATGCGGTTTGTACCAGTCGAGATGGTCAGACACGTGTACGAGCAATCAACAGCTAATCTAAAAAACGAATGCTCAGAGAGTGTGATCCATACGAGGTCTCATGGAAAAACCTATGCCAAAATCAAGCCGAGGAAGAAATAAAATGAGAGAAAACAAAAGAAGACTTGTTGAGGGAGCTGAGGTAAGAGATAAATCAGTTTTATTGCAGCATCAGACACGAAGGCTCAGGTCCCAGGGAAATACTAAAGTATCCTAATAATGAAAATGATAATTAAGACTTATTAATGTTTTTCTCCTTTGCTAGGCAATTTCCTATTGTTTTTTTTGCATATTAAATTGTTTAATTTTGCACAACGCTCTATGGTAGGTATTATTGCCCTCGTTTG